GGCTAGGGGAATGGGTTAAAAGTTGAGGTAAAATGGGTGATAGGGCTGTGATAAGAGGAAAGGGGGATTGGGCAGGAGGAGGAGTAGCTGTATTGGGTTTATTTGTTTGTTGTGAAGTGGTTTGTTGGGAAGTGAGGGGGATTTATTGGGGGTACTGGAGGGGGTTAGTAGTGGTTGGCAGACTGTGATGATTTTTGTCCTGAAGGGTTTGGCTGGTTTGGCTAAGTGATGTGCCCGGGTCAGAGCTTTTGTCTGTTTTCTGTTGGTATTGTTTTTTCACAGGATCCTTCCCTGATCCTTTGGGAATATTTCGGTCAAGAAATCTGGCCTGAGTTTTGGTTTGGGAATCAGCATGTTTGAAGTGTTTACAGGATTCCTTATGCCTGGAGATCCCTTTGCAATCTGGGCAGAAAAGAGGAACTTCTTCATAGAAGGCTTTTAACAGCATTGGTTGTTCTCCATTGAGTATGAAGAATTTGTTGGTTTGAGGCTATGAGATATCCACTTCAACACAGATTCTGGCAATTGAAGGTCTGCCAAAGTTTTCAGTGGTGCTATCAAGTTTAATTGGATTACCAAAGATTCTTGCAATTTGCATCAATGATTCTTTGGCATGGAAGTGAATAGGAAGGTTTTTTATAGAAATCCAAATGGGCATAATAGGGGATTCAACATTGGGATCAAAATTTGGAGTCAATTTCGAGATAAGCATTTTGTAAGCTCCCAGGGACCATTCCCTTTGCTTAAAACAGCAATGGAAATCATCATCACTGGAGAAGTTTAAGAGAATGTGTGTGGAGTCTATGAGCGTAACAGAAAAGCCAATGAATCCCATTCTCTCCAAGGTGGTTCGAATGAAATCCACACTAGGTCTGTTAAAAAATAAGGTTCCAACAAGGGCTTTAGAGAATTTGGTAGCAAGGTTTTCAACCTCTTCTTTGGAGAAGGAGATGCATGGAAGACCTTTGTACTTATCAACTGATCTATGAGGGAGGTTGATGGTAGTTACCTAGTTAGCTTGTGCAATTGTTGCTGCTGCGTAACTCTTCCCAGGTTTGAGACCTTTGAAGAGGTCAGTTTTTTGAGGAAAATAGGCTGCCTGAAGTCGTGGGGCTGAAGATTTTCCATGGAGGGGGAAGTCGTGGGGCTGAAGATTTTCCATGGAGGGATTGGCTGCTTGAGTTGGGATGAGAGCTAGAGGGAGTGGATGACGGAGGGTGGCCGGAAGCTCCCCCAGAGCTGGTCGCCGGCATCACGAGAGCAAAGGAAGCTTAGAGAGAGAATTTATATTTCTATATATATATATATATATATATATATATTGGTTCTTGTGAGAATGCAATCTTAGAAGAGAAATGAGAATGCATCTGGTGCTTTAGATTGTGAGATCTAAGGGTCAAGATTTCATCAAAATTAAATGCACCAAAATGGTGCGAAAATGCATCACGTTGAAATGCATCATAAACCTTCGAAAATGCACTATCTCAAAGTCTGAGCGCAGGATGCAATCTGAGCCGCACAATGCATCAGATCCCACGGCTAGATTTTATTCTCATTTCTCTCCACAAGGTGCATTCTCACGGGAACCGGCCCCTATATATATATATATATATATATATATATATATATATATATATATATATATATATATATATATATATATATATATATTTGGGTGGAGAGAATATCAATTGTTGTTATATATATATATATATCCGAATATATATAATTATTATTATTAATTATATTTGACAAACTTAATTATCACATAATTAAAATATCCAAATATAAATGTTTATTTATATATATGTTTGTGTATCTAATTAATCATATTGTAATACAATATAATATACACGATATATAAATAAAGTGCAACTTTACTCCACTTAAATATTCTACATTTTCATATGTTCTATGTGTGTGACCCTATTCTATGCATCTATAAAATTGGCCATAGTATTGAATACTACAAGTGATAAGCGGTATCTAGCAACACATTATCCCCCCAAATTATAGATTAAAGCTCTTGGAACAATTCCTTCAACGACACATCCTATTTGAACAACTCTTATCCTTTTATCACTAATATCTTGATTTAACACAAGGTATGGGGTGTGTCACATTGTCAGGGTGAAATCGGTAGTTTACTGACTCTTTGATTGACTTGTGGGATTCAAATAACATATTTATTTGGGCATGGCCATGCACTTCCCAAGTCACATCAATTAGTGGGCCCTCAGATATTATACTTTATTAAAGAAGGGATAAATTGTAACACCCTAATCCGTCCAGGTCTGCTGCACCATTCGGACTAAAGTATTTAACTTAGTAATCGTAAAAACTTTTCAAACACACTTTATTAATCCCAATAATATTTTTCATAACATATACAGTATGGAGTATTCAACAATATTGCGGAAGCGACTTTAATATTGACATATCATAAATTGTTTCAAAACGTGTCACATCCATCCCGACAATCTCGCCCCATCTACCGCCAGGATCACATTGTGCTTTCTGTTTACCTGCGTGTAGCAAATATAACACGCTTCACGCTCAGCGGTAAAGCTGAGTAAGCATATCTAATGCGTCGAACATCCATATAAACTGAATCTAAATTCATAATCAAATCATTTCATATCATGCACACAATGTTCATTTCAGACATTCATAGTTTTGGTATTGTTTAGTTCATATCAATACATTTTATTCAATTCAGATACTCTTTCAATAGTGCTCTTAAATTATTCTTAATCTAAGGCCAGATTATAACAATGCTCTTAAATATTCTTAGTCTAACGCGAGATCATAGTAATGTTCTTAGTTGTTCTTAGTCTAAAGCCAAATCATAATAATGCTCTTAGCTATTCTTAGTCTAAGGCCAAATCATAATTTCCATAACCAAATTCAAAAAAGGCAATCATTAATCAGACACTTAAACTGTCATTAGTTTAAGGCAATTGATTTTGGACACTTAACTATAGTCAGTTAAGGCAATCAGACACTTAAACTATCATTTTTAAGGCAAATGATTTCGGACACTTAACTGTAGTCAGTCAAGGAAACAATAATATAGCGAATGATCAACATTGGATCGGGCATTGCCAAACGAGTGATCCTCTAGTTTGGACTACAAATCCCGTTTATGCATTTTTATCTAATCCCTAAATTATTCATGTTTTCATAAATTCATTCTAAGATCTATACTAGAAGTCTTCTAGATAGTCTTATCATCAATAAGATAATAGATATATCTTAAAGTTTACTAGATATCCTTAACAATACACATCATTTTCTTGTTGATCAATTTATTCAATTTAATCATGGTTCAACCATTATTAATGATTTTAATCAGTAGATTCATCATTCATAATCATCCATAATAATCATTCATCCTAGTCATCAATTAACATAACATCCAATAACAAGTAGCGGTCTAGTTTCGAGTGATAACACTCTAACTTACTGTCATGCATCACATAAGGTTTATTTGTTAAAAAAATCATTTTCATAGTGGAAAATCATCCTTATAATAATCATAATCAATTGGTGTCAAAAATAGGATTTCATAGCTCAAAAACCATGGTTTCTTAACAATAATCGATTAATATATGATAGGAAAATCGAGTAATTGCTACTGACTTCAATTTCTTCACTGGAATAATGTAAAAAATCGATTTTTTTTCATGTTTAATAATCGATTTTTGTGTAAAAATAATCGATTTTTGGGTTCTAAGTTTGATTTCCTGACCAGAATGAAAATATAATCGATTTTTCATGCAATAATAGATTATTAGTCGTCTTCTTCCTCGAGCCAACTTTCGGAAATGTCATTTTTAGTCACCAAACTTCAAGGTTCATATATCATTTTGGTACCATTAGTTCGTACTTTTAACAACAATTTCAAGGTTTATGATTCTTGGTTCTTCAAACATGTCAAACACAAAACTCAACCAAATGAACGTTTATGAACGTAGAAACGATCTATATGAACATTCTAGTCATTAGATATATCTACGGGCTTACCTCGAAGCTTATCGAAGGTTTTGAGAATTTTCCGGCGAAACTTCCGGCGACGATTACTCCCAACTCCGGCGACCTCTCACCAAAATAATGGCACCACTGTACTCCTTTCTCAACAAGGAACAGAATAGGATGAAGAATTGTGGAGAATGGTGAAGAAATGAGAAAATTGAAGTGGGCTTATATAGTGGTTGTGGTGAAGAAGAAGCCAGGATGTCTCCTTCACAATATGTGCGGTCGGCGTAGTGCGCAGGACGGTGATTCTAATTGATCTACACGCCGTTCCCTGATTGGGAGCAATTTTGGTTCCAGTCGGGTACACTTTTTTGTCCAACTTTCTCCAAATTGAAATCTGTTTGCAGTGTTGCGTTCAGACAGTCGAATTCTATTCAACGACATACTTTTCATAATTATTTGTAATACTTTTCCGACATCATATTTTTGGGTGTTTGACTTTGACAGAGTCGAAATTGGTTTATTTGACCTTTATTCAAAGAGGTTCTCACATTTAATTCATATTAATTATTCTCATGATTTATTTCAATAAATAATCATTACAAAGTTCGCATCATAATTAATTTCTTCATTTATTCTTGATTTGGGTCTATACTCAGGTTCCCAATCAAGAGCACACAAATAGTCAACATATTGGTTTTATCTGTATGAGACTTGTCCAGATTATGAAATTGGATATTAGAACATCTTTTACTTCGGCCCAAACCCCAACAAGAATTTATTTTAATCAAAGTAAATTTGATTAATCAAATAATTATTCATTAATAATTCTAGGGTATGTTTTGGGGTGTTACATAAATTCTATATACGTCATTCACATCTTCGCTTAAGTTTCATTGCATACCCAAAACATAACTGTACATCCACCAATATTTCAGATGGCATAAATCATGCTTCAAAGTATACAACTCAACTTACTAAAGAATGTAATGACTTCAAGTCGAAGGATAGTTATACTAATGGTCGTATGAGAATAATATTAACACTTTAACTTAAAACCCATATATTATTCTCATAGCGGGTCAATCCAGCAACATATCCAATATGTTTGCCTACACATAGATTAAGATAACACTTTATCTATAGCCTATGAGACACAGCTATCTCATCTCATACGTATTAGTCTTGATATATTATGATGTCCGTATTGTCATAATATTTGACTAAGGATATTTTAGACGTGACATCTATCTTTGTAACAGCCTCATAATTAGAACGTCGTAGTTCTCATCTATGTTACTAGAGCGCCTACTCTATGGACTAAAGCTATGTTTAAATCACACGAGACGACTTAAACAATCTTTAAGGTCTATTGTTTATGATATAATATAGATATGGAATCATAAGTTGGCCTCTAGGGCTCACTTATATTCAACACCGTTCTCTTCAACTTATTCTTATTAAGGATTAACAATAGCAAGGCAAAAAGAAAATGCCACGTGGTGACATGAAATATTTCAATCAATAAAAAAATAATCCAATTACTGGGTGGCAAGTGAGTGGAATGTCGTAACATATAATGACAAGTCATTGTTTTTGTCCATTTTTGCACTTTTTAATGATTTTAATTATCAAAAATTGTTTTACAGTTCTATTTTCTTATTAAAATATGTCTACTTCTTTTAAAAAAATGTTGCTTTTTAAAAATTTAAAAATTAAAAAAAAATTAAAAAAATAAAAATTAAAATGGGAGAGTAATACCTTGTACATGGAATGAAAAGTAGGGTGGAATGGCGATGGAATGCCATGATTTGGTGGTATTTGTTGACATGATTAAGGAAGGCAAGACATTGCCTTGCCATTGTGAACGCTATAGCTGTTTCTCATTCAATTCTTCAGTTTAGATCAGAAACAAATTTAAATATAAAAAAATTTAAATTAAGTTAGAACACTTCAGATTAAAACTATTTAGATATTCCATAATTGGTCCTTTATAACATGGGGGTTTCCATATTTAGTCCTTTATTATCAAATATTACCCTCGTAGTCCTTTTTTTAAGGGTACCTTTCTACAAATGGTCTTTTTTAATCTTCTGCCAATTTAAAGGCTAAAAGTATAATTTGACATCAACATTATGTCTAGTGACGTGTTCTGATATTGGTTAAGCGGATAACACAAAAATAATGACTATGATTGTGGACTAGGATTCTGACGAAAGATCACATTTGTAGACTATCGTTGTCGTAAAAAGCGACTGTAATTCACAAACGACGCAAACGGAACAGCCTTTGGAATTGTGTATGACAAAAAAGATATATTATCATTGTAAAATTGCACTTTTAGCCTTCAAATTAACACCAACATACATGATAGAAGATCAAAAAAAGGACTATTTGTGAAAAGGTACCTATAAAAGAACTAGAATAATATTTGTTAATAGAAGACTAAATAGGGAAACCCCTGTTATAAAGGATCAATTATAGAATTTAATCTAATTTAAAAACTCAAATGTAGCGATAGAAAGAGTTGGTATATGGTACATCCGGATGTACTTAGAAATAGGTACATCCCGGTAGTACTCATTCTGAAATAGAGTAGTACTCATTCTCGTACAAATATTGAGCTCTTAACCATTCAGACTCTGTATAATACTTAACCATTCAGAGCCAAATCTCTTAACCATTCAGACATCTGAACCATTAAGAGGCTGAAACAAACAGTCTGAACCATTAAGTGCTAAATCATTCAGACATCTGAACCATTAAGAGACTGAAACAAACAGCCCCTAACATTCATTTTGAAATACGTAGTACTCATTCTGACAAAGGTATTACTCATTTTAAAATAAAGTACTCATTTTTACATATTTGTCTAATATAATTATAATAAATAGCGTAGTGTTCATTCTTAAAAAAACAATACTCATTCTCAAATAAGGAAATGTTCATTCTGAAATAAAGTATTGTTCAATTTTTTCACAATTAAAAAGTTCAGTACCATCATCAACTTCTTCCTCTATTCGATTCGATCCTACTCATTTATACTCTCTGAGCATGGAGAATTTAAAATCTAGGTTTATTAATGTTTGTATTGAATAAGAATATGATAATTCTCATAAGTGCTGGTACTCCTTCTCAAATCTGCTGGTACTCATTATCATATACGGAGTATAATAGTTTTCATATATGTTCTGTGCATTGGATAAAAAGTTTGCAAAATTTATAAAAATAGGAGGCTCTACATAAAGGAAGTAGCTAGAAAACTCATTAAACCCTATGGATCAATCGTGAATCGTATCAGACGGTCAGACCTTTCTTCGCCTTTGGACCTGTGAATCTGCGGTTGATTTCCTGCCTAGATTCTGCCTTCTGGAAATGTATACGTTCTGAAGCGTTCTCCTCGTCGCCCTGTTCGGCTCTTCAAATGCTACTGGTCCAGAATTCCAGTGTTCGACTAATTCTGCAGGTACTGTAAGCTTTTGAGTTTTGCTCATCTTTTTGTGTTTTTTCAACAAGAGATTTGGGTAGTCAATTGCATCTTTTATCTTTTATTCCTCTTTTACATTTACAATTCTATATTTAGTACTCATTTTTTTTAATTTTTTGTTGCCCTATCCTTACCGTCCCTGCATCCTGTAGTTTTTAAAATTGCCACACATTTCCTAATCCAGATTGCAGAAACTCAACCATAGGAATGAAATGGAGTGGTTTGTGATTACCTATCTCCGTTCGCCCATTTTATTCATGATTGCTTCCTCTGGATGTGGGCGATCCTTCATTAGATAATGCGTTCATCGGCTCCATCATCCGTCCAAA